AAACAATTACTATATTTAAAATATATGAAATATACATACCTTTTATAAGATAAGTTGCGCGCCAGAATCAGACACTTCAAATATGTGCTTGAACAAATAGTCATCAGATGCAATAAGAGTTTGTTCTGTATATCTCAATAAAGTGGGTTAATGATATTTAATTTATCTCTAATAAGCTCAAAACTTTTCTTCTCTAAAGGTTTTGTAAAGATATCAGCTAATTGCTATTTAGTGTCTATAAATTGAACAATTACATCTCCTTTAAAAACATGGTCACGGATAAAATGGTGCTTAATATCAATATGCTTAGCTCTGGAATGCAGAATAGGATTCTTGGTCAGATTGATGGCACTGGTATTGTCACACTTGATCTCCACAGTTGAGTTTTTGACATTGAAGTCCTTCAATTGTTGTTTCATCCAAAGAATTTGAGCACAGCAACTACCAAGTGAGACATATTCTGCTTCTACTGTTGATAGAGCTACAGTTTGTTGTTTCTTTGAATACCATGAAACAAGCATATGTCCTAATAATTGACACGTTCCTGAGGTGCTTTTCCTATCTATTTTGCATCCAGCATAATCAGCATCGGAGTATCCAATAAGAGTAAAGTTTGATTCTTTAGAATACCACAATTCAAGTGTAGGATTTGTGCTAACATATTTGATAGTTCTTTTGACTGCTGTAAGATGAGATTCTTTTGGTTCTGATTGAAATCTTGCACACAAACAAACACTGAATAGAATATCTGGTCGCGAGGCAGTTAAATATAAAAGAGAACCAATCATGCTTCTATATAGTTTTTTATCTACTGGTTTTCCTTTTTCATCTTTATCTAATTTAATGGAATATGACATTGGAGTATCCGTCTTTTTACAATTTAATAAACCAAACTTTTTAGAAATTTCTTTGGCATACTTTTCTTGACAAAGAAAGGTGCCATTATTGGTTTGCTTAATTTGTAATCCAAGAATTAAAGTTAATTCTCCCATCATACTCATTTCAAATTCACTTTGCATCATTTTAGAGAAATTCTTACATAATTTTTCATCTGTAGAACCAAAAATGATATCATCTACATATATTTGAACAATTAGAATATCTTTACCTTTTTTTTTTATGAATAGGGTAGTGTCTACATTACCTTTGGTGAAACCATTTTGTTCCAGAAAGCTGCTTAGTCTTTCGTACCAAGCACGTGTTGTTTGTTTGAGACCATATAATGCTTTCTTGAGAGTATATACCTGATCAGACTTTTGAGGATCTTCAAAACCTGGAGGTTTTTCTACATAGACCTCCTCTTTGATGTAACCATTCAAGAATGCACTTTTTACGTCCATCTGAAACAGTTTAACAAGCATAAGCTAATAATATTCTTATTGCTTCTAACCTGGCCACATGAGCATAGGTTTCATCGTAATCGATTCCTTCCTCTTGTGAATATCCTTTGGCCACACGTCTTGCTTTGTTTCTAACGACTTTTCCTTGATCATCCAGTTTATTTCGAAATACCCATTTTGTTCCAATAACTGAATGATTTTTGGGTCCAGGAACAAGTTCCCATACTTGATTGATTTGGAATTGTAAAAGTTCCTCTTGCATAACTTCAATCCAGCTTTCATCTTTCAATGTATCTTCAATATTCTTTGGTTCAACTTCTGAAACAAAAGCCATTGTATTTATGACTTCTCTTGCTTTTGTTCTGGTTTTAATTCCATCATCCAAATTTCCAATGATAAGATCCTTGGGATGACTGGATTTTTGTTTCCAGTTTCCGTTGAGTTTTTCCTCATTTTCATCATGGAGATTTGTTGATTCTTCATTGTCTTGTAGGTTTGATGATTCCTGAACTTCATCAGATCTTTGATTCTGATGATTTTCACTTGGCATCAATTCATCAGATGCTATGTCCTGTTCGTCAGATGCTGGATTTTCACTGTCAGAATCATCTTGCGGAGTCTGAATTGTGTCTTCAAACTTGACATTTAAAGATTCTTCCACTGTTTGAGTATTTTTATTATATACTCTGTAGGCCTTGCTTGTTGTTGAGTATCCAAGAAATATTCCTTCATCTGACTTTTCATCAAACTTACCAACACGATCATTAGGATTTTTAAGAATAAAACATTTACATCCAAAAATTCGAAAGTATGAAACATTGGGAATTTTACCTTTGAACAATTCATAAAGAGTCTTTTCAAGAATTTGTCTTGGAAAAATTCTATTTGAGATATAACAAGCTGTTGAAACAGCTTCAGCCCAAAAATATGCTGGAGTTTTGTTTTCAAATAGAAGAGTTCTAGCCATTTCTTGCAAAGTTCTATTCTTTCTTTCAACTATTCCATTTTGTTCAGGAGTATAAGGTGAAGAAAAAGAATGTTGAATACCATTTTCACCACAGAAGTAAGTGAAATTTTGATTTTCAAATTCTCTTCCATGATTTGATTTAATGCTCGATATAGTATAACCCTTTTCATTCTGTACCTTTTTGGCAAATTTTGAGAAATATTCAAATGTTTCACTTTTATGAGACGAAAAGAATACCCAAGTATATCTTGAATAATCGTCTACAATAACTAAACAGTATTTCTTACCTCCAAGACTTAGATTTTTAGTAGGTCCGAAAATGTCCATATGAAGCAACTGCAAGGCTCGGTTAGTGCTTACATAATTTATTGATTTGAATGAACTACTTACCTGCTTACCTTTGGAGCAAGCTGAACATAATTCTGTACTTTCAAAATTTCGTTCTGGCAATCCTTTGACAAGTTTTTTGGAAGCTATTTTGGAAATTAATTTGATACTTATGTGTCCGAGCTTCCTGTGCCACTGATTAGATTCTTCTTTTATGACTACCTTGTTGATGATGTCACTAAGTGAATTCATCAAATGGTCTTCCTCTTCTTGCAGTTTCTGAATTTCAAGCTGAGTGACAGCATGTCTGTCTGCACGGGCTTTGTACTTGGCATCTTGAATAGTTAGCCATTGCATAAACCTTGACTCCTCAAGGCTTCTTTCATCAGCTTGAGACTGTTCAGCAGATTGGTCATCAGAAATTTGCATTTCAATAGAATCACTGGCCACGGCTTGAGTTCTTTTGGCTGGTCTGTCGGTTCTGGAAACTGTCGATTGCACTTTCCTCTTTCTTACTAAGGGTTCAATTGATTCTTCCTCATTAGAATCATGAAAAATATTGACAGAACCCTTGTGTTGTGCACATATCAACTCTGCTGGAATAACCTTGCCCCTCTTATCCTTCCAGTTTTCATCATAAGCTTTGACATGGGAAAATCGATTGCAATGTAGACAAAAAGCACAATAAACAGAACCCCCATGATCACAAAGGAAAGTGGGAATGGCTGCCCCATGGATTACCATGAAGCTGTGTCTTCTTCTTCCAATTTGTGACTCTTTAGCTCAAAATATCCCTTCTAAGTTTGAATTCATGTTGGTACTCCATCTGGAATTGCTCAGATTACTGAGATGATTGGTGATGAACTTCGATAGTCTCATAGAAGCCGACTGCGCGGTCCGGATTAGTCAATGACGCATTACTTGGCAAAGCGGTTTGCGTGCCGGCTCTCTCTGCTGGAGCTTGAAGCTGTAACCACCTCTTCAAAGGCCAAAACCGCGGCTCCTCTGCTGAACGTCCCCGGCTCGCACGAGATGATCCCGCCATATTCCTTGATTTTCATCCACCATCATATATATCTAATAGTCAACAGAACAAAGCTTTTATTTCATGTTTCCTCATTCAACATGATCGATAATAACAGCTGCATACTCATATCTTGACTAGCGATTTGGAAATGTCCAAATGCCTGTCCTAACTTCATATTTTTCCGCTTAGACCCTGCTCATGGTGGGCGAAAGAACTGGTATAGTGGCAAATTTTACTAATTGTTAATCAGATAATAGTACAATCCTTGAGATGAATCTAACTGAATCTCTAAAATTCAAGAAAGAGATACTAAAGTCTAAAGGAAGTCTTAAATTAAGCATACTCTGGATCAACTCCAGCACAGAGCGAGACTCTTGAGGGCCATAGCCGAGAACAGCCTCGGAGTACTTCCTTTCTGGATTATCACTTCGAATCAACAACTCCATCCCAAAACATTCAGCGCAATTACAAAGCAAACATCAAAAAGTGTGCATAAGAATGTTATATGGTAACGTTAGCTTACTTGAGGATACGAATCAGGTCTCCGACTCTGAACACTGCACTGAGGAAGCGACAGTGGTCATTTATCACCCAGTTCAGTATAGTTTCTTGCGTATCACTCTGAGCTGCCACGGTGCTCAAAACCATCTGCTGGACGTGTGCGTGTAAACATGACCAAAGATGATCAGTAGATCAAATTGGATGCTCTACAAGATTCTATGAGGAATTCACATTATGAAACCCAAATAAAGTGTTCTGGAATCACATTTTACAGCTGCGTAGGAGGATAATAGAGCTTAAATATACCAGAGAGAACCATAGAAGAAAGCAGCATACCATCCACTCGTTATGCTTAAGCATTTTCATTTCAAGCTTAGAGTATAGCAGAAAGACTATGGTATAAGAGTGTTCCCGGATAATGGAAATGTAATGTATCTATAGCCATGGGCACATTGTTCTTGTTTTAGGATAAGCAAATACGTCATGGAGCTCAACAAGAAGTCCTCAGTATCTTGTTAAAAAGGAGATCAACAATTTGGACTTTTTTCTTGGCTTCAGGATTCGAAGCTTTCTATGTTCTTGATCAATCGACTTTATTGTAGCTTATTAATAGACAGCAACCAACAGATTGGATGGAGAAACAGTCCACATACTACATAGTTGTGGTATTCGAAGACGAATCATGGACTGGGATGCAGATTTTGGTTCAAGCGAAACGAATTCTTGAAGCTAAAGCATTTCGTGTTGCATGGTCGAGCGAATCTTAAATGCAAGTATGGAATTATTGAGACCCCAAGTTCGCACATGGAGGAGTCAGAGAAAGATCGCGAAGTTAACATTTTCCAAATAATAAGTATGATCTTATAACAAACTGTCTTGCTGTACAATGAGCAATCCAAGTTATTTGCCTTACAATGAACAATTTAAATGCTAAATGTAGAGAAATGCAATCAGAATCAATCTTTGTCGACGCTACTTCACTGCTGTTTTATTCTGTTTCTCTCTGTCCTCGGGAACCTGTGGAACATGAATTGCACAGAAAATTACATGAACTACATAATTAAATGATCATGTAAACTATGAATAAAATTAATTACAAGAAAAATCTCTACCAATTATTTGCACAATATGAAGCTGCCCATCTCACTGGCCGTTATTCTTTATCTCTTTCAGATAATCCTCATTGTCCACCAAAACCTGTAAACACAAATCACACAATGCAATTATATCAGCTATATAATCAATGGTTATATATCCTATCGGGCAGAACTTCAAGGTGAAGAAAGAGATTGGAGTGTGAGGGCTCACGGTTTTCCTGCCATCAGGGTCGAGGAATGAAGTCATCTTGGTGTTGGTTACAGGATTCGGGCCTGGCGGGCGAATGATCTTTCCTCCAAGTTCTTGTGTAACGAGTGCAACAGCCGCAGCGTTTTTGTACACATCATTGGTGCCTATCGCGGCCTATAAATTGTGACGGTTGAACTGATTAACGAACGGACAAAAGGTAGCCGTGAACAAACGGGCTAGGTGGAGGCGAAAATTTGTCTTGCTTACATGAACATACGCGTTGCCTGCGGTGTACTCGGTCACATTGTAGTTGTACCTGAGCTCAATGACAACTGTCTGAGTATAATCTGTTCCATAACCCACCATAGCTATTGCAAACTGCAAAATTAAACATATAGTTAGACAGGGCGTTATGTCACTATTTCTTTTCGTTCTGATTATTTTTAAATTTCTGTTCACCTGATCTTGAGGGCTGTCGTACTTCAAGAGTATGTTCATGCCCAATGCCTGCATGCATAGTTGCGGTGCAATTAGGAAAAAGATATGGATAAAATAATATGATTTACATGGAATAAGATATCACGTTTGGAGCTATCTTTGCTTTTATAGATGGTGTAAAAGAAGAATGCACTTATCAGGAATGTGAAACCGAGAAATCAAAAGGTTAAAAGTCTAATTTCACCTTCTCGTAGAAACTGGTGGCGCGATCCAGATCGGTCACTTGAAGCATGAAATGGTTGAGTCGTTGAGGAGTCGGCCCTCGCTGGAGGAGCTCGAAGCTGTAGCCATTCGGATCCTCCACAAAAGCGTAGACTTGCGATCCCCCTTCATTTGTCCCCGGTTCTTTCGTGATGACGCCACCTATTTATCTTACTTTCTCCACAATTGGATATATCTTAACACCACAACTTAGAAATGTTAGAATCTCGAACGAGTTTTTTAGCAGGAAGTTCACCATGACGGCGACAGAAAACTCACATCTTCAGCCGCAATTCCAAAGTGCGCCCATGCTGTACCAACATCATATTTCTCGACTCCGTAGACTGTCAATTAAGAAGTCGAACGTGTTAATATAATCTCAATATTGCTGAATCTCTAATTAGACAAGCCAATGCCAAAATTTTCCTTCAAAAATTCGACTTGTCAAGTAGGAGCTAGATATGAAAAAAAAAAAAGTAGGAACTAGATGAGGAAAATGTTCGGTGAGCATACTATATATCAGCTCCAGCACAAAGTGAGACTCCTGAGGTCCAAAACCAACTATGGCCTTGGTGTATTTCTTCTCAGGGAAATCTTTTTGGCTCAACAACTGCATCCCAAAACACTCCTTATAAAACCTGAAAAAGGGAGTCAACGCAATCATCAAAGCTGGAAATCAGCAGTTAATGTCCCTATTAGCTGTGAAGATAGCAGGTGGTATCAGCATTAGCTTACTCGACTGTGCGATTCAGATCACCGACTCTAATAACGGCATTGAGGAAGCGGTGGGTATCGTTTTTCACCCATTCCAGTATGTTGTCCCTAATGACATTCTCTGTTGCTGCCATGCTCGAACCCACCTGATCGACATGGCAGGTATTAAAACTGAGATCAGCAACTATACTCAAAAGACTGAGAATTCGAACTTGGACCCAATTGACATGTTGAGCATAAACATGCGCTTCTCATATTCATCAGACTAATCACAGCTAAAAAGGGCATAAGGAGTAAGATTAGAGCATACAACAAGACGACTTCGTATGATTTCGATATATTTCAGTGCCACTGTCTACAACACCGCTGTGTCGAAGAAGTTTTTCTCGACTTGCTAGAAATTCGTGAAACTCTCAACGACATCGTCAATTGATAAAATTTTGATCTAACCATGAACAAGCACAATGGAAAATGAAGTGGAGAAGGAACAGAGAGAGCTTACCAGGAAGACAGACAGGATGAGCAGAGGAAAGAACAATTGCGTGCGCTTCGTCATTTCCATTGATGAAGTTATCCCCTCTAAAAGATAATGATTATTGTATGTCAAATAATGAACCGATCGTGATCTATTTATAATATCTGCACGTTTTGACCGCAATCAATATTTCAACATCTTTAGGGAAAAAAATTAATATGTCAACTTTGTCTTAGTTTCTAGATTGGTTGATAAGTCAAATAGGATAGAAAATTTCTGGCCAATGACCCGAGAGATTTGTGAACTATGAAGAATAGTGCAAAAGTCAACAGTCAAAGGTAAGACAAATGCTATTTCGTTCTAATGTTTATATACCTAGAGAAGAAAAAACATTAATATGATGTTGCCTTTTAGTGATTTCGTAACGATTTACGAACATGGATCAGGCACAGAATACAAGTTTTTTTTTTCACACGTTTAATCTACGAGGTTCATGAAATTTAGTTATTTAAGGTAAACTTTTCCATCACAAAGATTACATAAATAAGTAAATAGAGAAGAAGTCACTAGATTTTTTAACTATCGAAACTTCATTAATAAATGGGAAAATGACACAATTAGTCCATGAACTTTGGCTTAATATACAATGTGATTTCTAAACTTTTAATTTGTTCAATGTGGTTCATGGACTTTAGCCTAGTGTTCAATGTGGTCCCTGAACTTTTAATTTGTTCAATGTGGTCTCTGGACTTTTTGTACATGTTCAATGTTTGTCCCTAAATTATATGAAAATATTTAATGTAGTCCTTCCATTAATTTAAGATCGGGGACTATATCGAATATTTTCTTATAGTTAAAGGACTACATTGAATATGTACCAAAAGTCAAGGGACCACATTGAACAAATTAAAAGTTCAGGGATCACGTTAAATATTAGGCTAAAGCTCAGAGATCACATTATATATTGGGTCAAAATTTAGGGATCATTTACGTCATTATCCCTTAATGAATTGTTGACCTTTCGACATACAAAAACGTGTCGGAGGTTCCGTCTTCCAAATAATTACGGATATCTGTTGGAGAATTTGCCCGGGAAGGTTACATGCCATCTTCTGGAGTTCTGACATAGTAAATTATCTTTTTATTGAAATTGTGGTGTCTTCAATGTACGTGGCAAGTCGTGAGGAACGTAAGACACCTTCGAGTTTGTAATGATCTTTAAGTTTGTTTAATGTTATATATGTTGAACGTCAATTATTGCTGCAACTACTTGTGGAATCATCGGTATCCCAACTTTGACTGTGAACTCGGTCTTATTATCAATCTTGTATTTCAAAGATTGACAATACCTGGCCTTCTTAATTGACTCACAATCAGTACTTTGTCCAAGCCCGGGAGGGGGAGGGAGAGATAATGCATTGGTACATATCCATTCGCTTCGCATAAAAAAACCAACAATTCAAAAAATATTTTTATCATCATCCATCATATATATTGTTCGAGAAGATATGGTTCATATATCTTACTATAGATCCCGCATCGAGGACCGTCAATTCATATAAATTATGAGTAGAGGTGATCATTGGGTGGGCTCTGATAGGGTAAGTGTGACGTTTGGAAATTTCGTAATAATATGTATGTGATATTGGAAATTTTACGTGTTCAACAATGATACTTAGATTATAAAGCTAAGTATTATTTAGCTTAGTATTTGTGTGGACGCGTAGAAATCGTTGTTGGATCGTAAATTTGAGGGGCGCGGGGGATAATTTTCGAGAACGTAATTGTTCCGAGTTCAACGTATTTAAAATTTATAAATGTTGATGTATACGTTAATAGCGGTGCGGTATTAATTAATTTACCGTTGTTTTAGTAGTTAATGTGTGATATTATTATTTAAGCTTTAGTTAACTAAGTATTAATAATTAGTTATTTGTTATATGGTGTTAAGGGAGAAGATATTCTGTTTTCTACTTAATTTTTCACAAAAATCTCTCTTAAGACACCAAGGAACTCACGTGGCATGTGAAGGATTAATGCATGGCCACATGCCACATTTGTATAATTCAAGCATGCCACATGCCCTTCTTAAGCTAAACCTTTTCCACTAAGTTGACACATAGCCATAAGGAATCATTACATAGAGCATTAGTCATCTCTAACAAGCCTATATTTCCTACACTTGGCCGTAGATTGCGGGGAGAATTGCCACATTTGAGTGCATGCATTCTTCCACCTCAAATCCCCTTCTACACCTCACTTTCATTTTGATAAAACAAAAGGAAGTTGTTCATCTTGGCCGTAACCCTTCTTTCTCACTTTCAAACTCCCAAAAACTCTACCTTCGTCACTATCTGATTCAAGATCTTCAAGGTGGTTTTAACTTGGGCGGTTAGATTTTGCGCGAGGTAAGTGAAACTTCTAGAGTTAAGTTAGTTTAGTATACTAATCACTTTTAACTTGAATGGTTATGATATGCCATTTGTATGAGCTATAATATGGTAGATTTGGTGGTTGTTGGATGTGTTTTGCTAGTCTTGTACATATTCAAATTGTGTGTGAATTGTTTTCTTAAAGAGTGGCGTTGATGGCAAGTGCAATTGTTAAATATGAACGTAGAAATGTTATCTTTGAGGTAATTGTTAAATTCGTTTTGCTAGTCTTATGCATGTTTAAAAGGTAGTTGATTGTTTTACTTAAAGTGGAGTCAATCTGAACTTGGAAAAATCATATTAGTAAGTTCACACTTAACCGTCGTTCGTAAAATCTATTGATTTCTGAACCAAGTAGATTTTACTCTCTGAATCCAGATATATTGATTTCTGAACTCGAGTAAACTTTACTTTTTAAATCTTAATATATGTATTTATGAACTCGAGTAGATTTTACTCTCAGAATCTGAACCCGAGTAGATTTTTCTCTCTAAATCTCGACGTGTGTATTTTTTGAACCAAGTAGATTTTACTCTAAAAAAATCTGGATATACTTATTTATAAAACGAGTAGATTATACTCTCAGAATCTGAATATAGGTATTTATGAACTGAGTAGATTTTACTCTATAAATCTGGATATATGTATGTTCTGAACTTGAGTAGATTTTTACTCTCAAAATCTATATATATATATATATATATATATATATATATATATATATATATATATATCTATTTTTGAACTTGAATATATTTTACTCATAGAATCTGGATATATTTTTTAACCCGAACGGATTTTGCTTTGAAACTGGAATATATTTACATCATAAACTTGAGTATATTTACTTTCTCAAATTGAATAGATTTACCTTATAACCCGAGTAGATTTACTTTCTGAATGTGAGTAGATTTTTGCCTTTTGAGTCTGATCACATACTGCTTCTTACTTGTTTATTTAACTAATACATTTCATTGCTTGAGGAATATGTGCTAAAAGACTTGTAAGTGTGTATTTGCCATTGTCTGCCTGAGAATAATGTAATTCCGTCATCCATATTAATGGAGACGATGCCTTGTGTGTCGGGATGCCCCGGGAGAGTTCGGCAGGAGAAGTGACGAACCTAACGCATGAGTATGAGTGTTTTGTGCCATGTGCTTGCGTGATTTGAACTATTGTGGGATAATGAAGTAATCAGACTTTTGTGGCATGTACAAATGGGAAAGGTATATCATTTATTCATGTTCTCAGCATACTTATTGGTTGTTATGCATTTATATTGTTTGTACTAAGTGAAGTGGTGAGATGACTTTCCAAACTTAAAACTAGAGATTTCATTTATTTAGCCTTGGCTCATTCCTTTAGTTTTCTGACTTGTAGGATAGATGTTCCACAACCCCTACGTTTTGGAGTTCTCATGTATTATGAACGTGTTTATGAATCTGTGTTTGTACCTAAATTGGAAATAATATATACCAAATGTAGTTCTACTATGTGGGTCGACGTGGGTCTTATGCAGTGGGTTCTCTATCGATTGGTTGCATGGTACCGAAACCTCGACGGCGAGTTAGTTGGCCCGTTAAGGGGCTTCGACATGGATGGAGATGATCCCACATCGGAGGGCGAAGTTAACGATTCATGACGTCGATCAATCTTTTGTACAGGCAGACTTTTGGAGTATAATGTAGTATGGAGATAGGCAACCTTGACCTACTCAGACTTTTGTTTTTTTTTTATTATATGAACTTTTGAATGGGGATGTAAAATTTGATAAGTAATGTAAAAAAAAAAAAGTAAGTACTTTAACTCTACTTTGTGTGATTTTCATGGTTAAGAAATGTTCAAATTAATCTTCTGCTTGTCTATTTAATAATTGATAAGAAACACATGTCGTGTGTGACGTTCTGGGGCGTCACAATAAGGCCCAAAGGTTAGGTCTGATGTGTTGCCCAAGCTCGCCCATTTGATAGTCTTGAATTTTTGGACCGAGCCCGCTCATTCACCTCTCGAGCTAGAGCAAGATTAGCTTGTTGTACGCCGTTGATCACATGTGACTGAGAAATGCGGAAAAAAAATTACACATTCTATATATTTAACATTTATCCTTTTAATCACTAATTCTTCACGGATCAAACGAATAAGATTTACATGTTGGATCAGCATAGTCATTGTACCTCGGCGCTACATATTGACATTAATGTCCATCTCCATATATATATTTGTTGTTTCTGGGAAAATTACTTCTTTAGATGAACGATTACGAAAATGGCAACTCCATAAAACACAATAAATCCACAAGCCCGTAAGTATTCATTCTCCAAGCTTATGTTGATAGAATGCAAAGCTTGCTAGAACATTATTGGGCCTATGTTGTCAAGATCGTTTTGGTCTGACCAAAAATAGCCAACACCCATTCAAAGTAAACTGATTTAGAAACACTTGGGCCTAGTGCAAGGAACATGTACAGAATTCCTTCATGGTTTTAGTCCAATTGTACCTGAAATTGGGTGGGTTCCCACTTGAAGAATCTTCAAAGCTTTGACGTAGGAATATCGATTGCGATGCGGATTTGAAAGCACCATGAGCAGACCCCCCATAATCACCATGGAAAGTGGCAGTGTTTGCCCCTTGAATTATCTTGAAGCTGCGTCTTCTTGTTCCAACGTGTGAACTCTTCGGCTGATGATATCCAATCTAAGTTTGAATTTCTCCATGTTGGTA